TGTTTGTGACATTTAGTTTATACAAACATAATGTTTTCCTGACGAAGCAAAAACGATGTACAAAGTGACTTTATATTCCGTATTAAGAGAACCGAATTGTTAAAGACGAAGAGAAGACGTCGGAAACAGCAGCAGCAAAACCAACACATTTCATCATCAATAACAAATACAAACAAACCTGAGAACAAACATTTTTGCTGTCATTGTTGCACCTAGAAAATGCTGAAATAAAACATGGTGTATCAGTGATTATCTGTCGTACCAGTATAGTGAACACAAGTACTGCTTCGCTGTATATCTAAATTTAAAAAAGTGCTGTAGTGTTTATTGTTGGGTGATATATGTATTTATACTATGGGTTAATTTATTGTGATATGTTCCATTTAATTTCTATAAATAGCGAATTTTAATTGATTTTGACACTTTTTATTTGCATATACGTGAGGATTTTGAATGATGTTTTACAATACGTAAAGCATAAAATGCGTGTACTGTGACTAAGATATACAGTATGACTTGGAAACTTTTACATAACCGCCGCCTGATCCAGCTAACTACATATTTATAGTCATCCTCTAGGACATACCCATACGTGTAGCTTTTCCTAGTATATTAAAAAAAATGTATGTGTAAGAAAGATGCATCATCATGCCATGTTGCTATGGTGATTTGCTCGTGAAAGTTTGGACTCGTTTTAACCAAACTCTAGCGCGAGGTGAGATTTGTTCACGTGCATGATACCCTAGTTTGCACGTTCCTCCACCCAAGTGAGTTCGGAGAGTTAAAAAGAAATAGAACGACATGCCTAGCTCTCTGTACCGTACCGAACCACACAGGTATGCGTGTTGCCGTTGAGCAGGTGTAACTGTCGGCGTGATAACCAGAAATGACGATAGCAGAAAGATTATCTGGTTATTGACTTTGTAAATCTGGTCTCTATTGAACTTTATTACGAATTAATATCTAATTTACAGCTACCTTAAATAAAAATTATTACTACCATACTGATATAGCTACCTTTGTTACAAACACTATTATCTTATCATAATTTGCTCTTATCTTGTCCAAATTTACAACTGTCGTGTTTTAATCATTTCCTCGAGTATAGGAGGGCTTTCAGACTATACAATATTGGTTTCTTTTGAAAGGGTGGATTTCATTTATCGCGGAAGTCTTAGGAAAATGGAGAACATATTGTGGCAAGATATTCTTCCCGTCAATCAAACTATCCCCTCTCTGCCTCCACCCCATCCCCACTCATTATTCAATGACGTCATACACATCAGAGGAAACTGTCTAATTATAGGATATATAACGGAGTCCCAGCGCCAATGCTCTAAACCCGAAAACATTGAGATATACGTACATATATATTTCATGTTCACATCCCTTTATTATGTCGTGATATGTCGGGGAATTAAAAAAGCTCAAACGCGTTACCTTGATCTCTGAACCTCTTACGAAATTAAGGACCGGTAATTGTAACTAAAAGTGCCAATTTGTTTAAAGATTGGTTAACTTGAAATTTGTACAGTGTGTCTTTTCCGTAACAGGTGTATTCAAACAAGACAAAAATCTTCATTAAAACCTCCGTGTATTAAGTTGAATACATATTACGAAATGAATATGTAGCTTCACTCAAATGAGACATACACCAACACTAAATTTAAGGCGTTCAATACATTTCGTTTTTATTTTTGGTTAAGCTGACAAGTCTTTAATAAGGCTATCCCTCGAGGTGTTACAATGTTAATTTGGAGTAGGATAAGTCAATAATTTCACACTTGAGAAACATATATATTACAGTTAATTAAGGTACAGTACTGTGACCCTTTTACTATAAGTAGGCTTATACCTCCTAATCATTATACTTCAGAATTATTTACATTCGAAAACGAAACATTGTTGTTTATCAATACTCATGGAGTCAACTCGACTTAAGGATTTTCTTTTTTGTACATAGATCATTTGAAATGTTTATCTGAAAGTTAATAGTAGGTCATCTAAATTATCCAATTAAATCGTCAACGATATGGAAGTTACATAATAAATAGAACGTTTCTTTGTACCTATTTCACAACACTGTTTCAAAAGTTTGTAAAAGTACATGTGTTATTGAAAGGGTTGGCAGGGCAAGGAAATTAATGTCTCGGACCTTCCCTATTCCAAATTTCAAAGAGGTGATTTTGCGAGAAAATTTGGTAATCATACGGAGAGAGAGAGAGAGAGAGAGAGAGAGAGAGAGAGAGAGAGAGAGAGAGAGAGAGAGGGGGGGGGGCAGAAGGTTGAAACATGTTGGTTTGTCTTCTCATCTTCACTTCTAGTTCAGGGTTGTCATGTGTCTTGTTTTAAATCGCGTGTATATCAAGGCTAAATACAGATTACTGTCCATATCTTCATGATTGACCAAACGTGGCCAGTCGTTACGCATTAGTGACAAACAAGTATCTTTCGGAGTGCTCGGAGAGATAGCCACCCAGTCTTATCCCTCACTCTCAGTTGTGTCACTGGTCAATCTGTGTCCCCTACAATGTGACACCGACAGATTGATAGTAATATGAAGTAAAATGTCTATAAATTTATACAAGTTTAATGTATTGATATTTATCCTTAATGATATTGTCACTAACCTTACATTAGAGAAACAAAAACATGATCTACCTTGGGTGTCATATGATATCGTATAATTTCTTGGGCTTTAATTTTCGTGGTGGTTATGAAAAGAAAGAAGAAAGGAAGTCTTTTTCGTGGACATTTTATTTCGTGGACACTTTATTTCGTGGATAGATATAGCGCAAATCTTTTTATGCTTCCTGTAACAATTTACGGACATAAAAATTGTCTGCAACCTGCATTAGATCATTTTAATTTGAATAATTATAATGGAAACATAGTTGAAGAAAAATAATGACTTCAGCCAAAATTATTTTGCTTTTTATAGATATTTCTAAAATTGGGAATTGTTTGCATTACGAGATTGTGAAGCAACGACTATAATTTTAATCTCGATAAAAGCGGAACATGTGATTCGAGATGTTTATGGCATCAAAATATTTTGTTTTCGGTAAAAGAAAGTAAACTATTCCATAATACGTTAAAAATGTGATCTGTTATAAATTCTATCTCCGCATAAAACAACGTTAAGTTGATGATGCTTTCGAAACTTTTCGTAAGTGACACCTTTCACTGGACACTTTGCATATGATGTATGTGATTACGCACAATTTCGTACCTGTCACAGGTAAGCTTTAATACGGATGATAAAAGATTAACCAATATTATGAAATCTTTCTAATACCGGGCGTTCATTTTATAGTTTTAGTCTCTTTATCAGCAACACAGGTCGAATTATTTAGGATTAAGTCTAGTGTCCAATTATCACTTTAATTAGTCTGAAACCGCCGTGAGTATATTTCGTCATGTGCCAAAATTTTCAAGGATAAATTCAACATTAAACTGGAATTGAAAACTAAAAATCATAATACTTATGTACAGTTATTAACTTTAAATTACTACTGAGAATGTCTGGTGTGGTTATCCTTGCTTTTGACAGTGTGTTCTTAATTCGACCTGTCAAACGTCATATTGACACGAAAGAAATTGATTTAACGTTAAGAAATCTAACATTTAAAAATCATTGAATTTCTCTATAAAAAACATCTAAGCTGAATCGAGGGTGATAATTAGATAAGCCAATGTTATTTTGAATTTTAATTCATGCCAAATGTAATCCGAAGGTCTCCGATCAGCACCTCATTAAAATTTCCTTCTGTAAGCTTTGTGATTAAAGAGTCTAATTATTTGAAAAAAAATGAGTTGAAGTTCATTTGAACATTGATCATTGACGCGCAAAACCAGACACATGGGTAGGAGGCGATGGAGATTTGTTAGCATGTACGTTTTACCTACCATGGCGATATTCTAATGTCTCTACTCGTCCTACCTCGACACTAGTTATCATCAGACGTAATGACCACTTAAGAAGCCTTTGAAAGATCAATATGAAGGTCAAACCCCGTGTAGTCTATTACTCTATAAAGCGGAGTACTAACGCCCATCCGCTCATACCCGATCTTATAATAACGATGTATTCATAAGCTTTAACTGTGTCAAAGGAAACGTTTCTTAAGCAGCGCTAACTACAACAATATTCTCTATAAGTTGACCCCACCCGATAGAGTGCAACAGTAGACGCGATCTAATTAAAAAATCGTTGACTTCCCGAGAAAATTCTGTAGCATGTTTTGATTAACTCTATAAAGTGATTGTTAGCGTTTTACGTTTGGTTTAAGGTACAAGTAGCAAACAGTTTGAATATATTTATTATAAACTAACATCCATTGAGTATATCTGTAAACGACAGTATTAACAGTGTGTGGTTTGGTGAGTGAGAGACAGAAAAAGAATGAACACAAATAATAGAGAAATGATAAGAGATTAAATCACGCATGCATATTTTAAATCTAACCCTTAGTCTACTGGTGGGCAGTAGAAACAGACCCCCATAGCTTATTTACATCGTACATGAGATATACATTAAATCCGAATTATTCGCTTCAATGACTTTATTTCACGGTGAACGGAGCGACGATGATTGGTTGTGTCTGTGGGGTGGGCGTGGTCTAGAGACAGTGTCGTGGAAGCGTGAGTTGATATGGACAGAGATAGGCAGTGACTGGTGGCTGTGACACATGTGTTTAAACCCTATATACCAAACATTGATACCTATCGTGGAATACCACTACTAGGACATGGCACAGATATTCACAATGTTTATGTAGACTCGGCGACAGTTATATAAGTAGGCTTACGCTTTACAGGTAAAGTACACATCATTATACCCACAGTTAGATAGCAATTAACGATATACCTATTTTTTAATTAAACAGTAATGTATTTATTTGATTTGTTTACAGGCAGTGCCCCTTGAGATAACATGGTGTATTGAACTCGGTGACTCTGTATTTCGGGGATTTAAAACACTTATGCTGACTGGAACGATGGATGTAGTACGGTTTCTGAGTTCGGATTTATTTCTTATAAGTGTTTTATTCACGTGCATGGTCCCGGGTGTGTGGGCCAAGGATGTGGCATATTCTCTCTTTGAGGAGGAACAAGCTAACTTCTACCTTGGAAATGTTGCTGATGATGCCGATCTTGCCTCCGAGGCAACAGATCCTGCCGACTTAAATTCTATGAAGTACAGTTTTCTTACACAAGGTAACACACTGGTATCATTGTTTCATATAAATGAGAGACAGAGTTCTCTATATACAGCAGCGAAACTGGACAGAGAGCAGCTTTGTGAGTACCAGGAAGAATGTATTTTAGAGTTGGAAGTGATTGCTAGATCAACGTCTGGAAGTTTGTATAAGAAAATAAAAGTTTCCATTACTGTTCTAGATATAAATGACAACGCTCCTTCCTTTTCGGTGCCTTCGATCACTCGAGATATTTCGGAGGGGTCCCTAACAGGGTTTTACATCCCCATTGAGGCGGCTAAGGATGCTGACACGGGGAACTATTCAATTCAAGATTACACATTAGAGCCCCCGACATCCCCATTTACAGTTGGGTACCAGGAATTCGTGGACGGAAGCTATAGTGTCCGAATTATGCTAAACGGAAAACTGGACAGAGAAATTACAAGTTCATACAAAGTTAACGTTATAGCCACGGACGGCGGAGAAACCCCTAAAACTGGAATCCTGGAAGTGACCATTAATGTTTTGGACATCAATGACAATCGTCCAAGATTCAGTACCCAGATGTACAATGTTACGGTCAACGAAGACGTGGCTGTGAACACGACCATAATAACAGTGTTTGCTGACGACCCGGATCAAGACGAGAACGGTAGAGTCACGTACAAACTGAGTCCAAACCAAGCAGAGAAGATCCCGACTTTATTTGCCATTGACGAGACCTCTGGGGATGTCAGCATCGTCGGGTCTCTCATCTACGAACCGGGAAAGAGTTACACAGTTATCGTAGAGGCATCGGATAACGCGCTACAGCCTCTAATCTCACAGTCAAAAGTGTTTATCCATGTCTTGGATGTACATAACAACCCACCAGAGATCAGTATCGACCCTCTATCGAACACAGACGATTCCGAGATCCTGGAGAATGCTTTATTAAACACTGCAGTGGCCCATGTTACCATCTTTGACCCCGACACCGGTTTGAATGGTATTGTGAATTGTTCAGTAATTAACAGCGAGAAGTTCGAGCTGCAGAAGTTTGCGGTCCATGAGTACAAGGTGGTACTCTATCAGCCTCTTAACCGCGAGGTCAAGGACAGATACGAAGTCACAGTTCATTGTCATGATACTGGTACCCCACGGTTAAATGCATCCTCAATGTTTGTCGTTCACGTAATGGACGTCAATGACAACACCCCAAAATTTACCCAACAACAGTACTTTATCAGTGTCCAAGAGAATACATCTCTCACTTCTAGTGTTATGCAAGTTGCTGCAAATGACTTCGACAATGGCAAGAACGCAGAGGTTGAGTACTCTTTGGATTCTGAAGGTCAGAAATATTTCAGTATTGCAGAAACATCAGGAGTGATATCTGTAAATACTGTTTTGGATAGAGAAACTATCAACCAGATCACATTCAATGTGTTTGCGGCTGATAAAGGTTCACCAAGTTTGACCGGAAGTGCCCAGGTGAAAATGTATGTGACGGACGTTAACGACAACAAACCTGAATTTATCCAGAATACATTTGAATACAATCTGGAGGAGAATAACCATGTTAACGTAAGTATTGGAGTTCTGGTAGCTAACGACCAAGATGACGGGAACAATAGCCAGATAACCTATTTCCTCCATCCTAACTATCACGCAGGGATTCCCTTCTCCATCCTGCCAAATGGAAGTGTCATAGCAACACAGGTGATAGATCGCGAGGCCAAGGCAAGGTACGATTTCACAGTCATTGCTGAAGACATGGGGATTCCGTCCCTCCGAAACTCTGCACATGTTACAGTGTTCGTTCTCGATCTCAATGACAATAACCCTGAATTCATTTTCCCCAACGCTCACAATAACACGGTGGTCATCTCATACCAAACACCGGTCAATACTATCGTGTCCACTGTGGAAACGAGGGACATTGACGATGGTATGAATTCTAAGGTCACTTATTTTATGAAGGATAAAAATTTCTCCCATATTTTTAAGTTGAATAATCTTTCGGGCCGTATCATATTGGATAAAGCTTTATCTCAGGCTGATGCAAGGAAATACACTTTTGGAATTATTGCCCAGGACAAAGGTACCCCTCCACGGATTAACGAGATTGCCATGTCCATCGTTGTCACAACTCAGAAATTAGGAGATGACGTCACACCACCGGAAGAGCATCGGCAATATTTCCTTATCGCCGTCGCTATTTCCTGTGTGACTGCTGTCATTGCTGTTGTCATCATTCTAACCATCTGTCTAATCAAACGGGCTGATAGAATAAAACAGAAATATTCCGAATCAAAAGACCATTCGGATGGACCACTAGGAAGTCAGGAAACTAGGAAGAAAGTCAGCTTCAGTATCGACGACAGAGCCATGACAACTCTGCCCGGGGGTCGGTCTAGCGCCCACGAGAACCACCTATATCCAGAGATACCTACAGGGTCTATACAGGTAAGTTATTGTTATTTTAGTTGTATATATCCTTTATCTTACCTGTTATCAGCCACGTGATAAATTGTTCTACATAGGTATTACTGCCTTAAGCCTCTTCAAGTAATAACCGAGGTTAGGTATCATGTCACCAAACCTGGGATCAACATTAATTTATGTGACCTGTCAGTTCCGGCCAAGGGGGGACATCCTTTTATTGAAAAAAGTGAAATATACAAATGGTCCTATCACAAAACGATAATGATATTATCATATCTTGGCAGCGAGTACAGGATATCATCTAATCCTCCCCCCTTATCACATGACACAAAGTTTCTGTGACATGCCATAACAACAGTTTCTGACATCAGACCGTTCACATCCTTTGGAAGCCCTCAAACCAATAGTACTGACTGACTATAGAAATCATTCCTGCTGTTAAGTTTTCGTTAATTTCAGGTTGCAACATATCATAATCCCTGTTAAAATTATTACTTCTTTGGGCGTCGTTTCCCTTTCAGAGGATATCATAAACGGCGAATATAAGATTGACAATGAAAACAATAGTTTTTTCGTCGTTGAGAGCTTTTTATTCAAATATATGACAAGACAATTTCGTTAGAATTTGAACCACCTAAAATATTTGCAGTAATTTGTCATGTGATCAACTGTGTTAAGATACCTTCTCTGTGAAAGCACTGTCTCTGATACGATAAGCCTCCGTTCTGTGTTCAGAGATTTTAATTCTCACTAAGGTGGTATATCACTACAGAAACAGAAGTGGTTCCTCTCCAATTGTACATAGGTTTGACAGGGACTAACTATCTCTAGACAAGGTAATCAGTATCATGTGACATCAACAGAGATAAATATAACATGTACAATCAGGAGACAAAATATTCAATCATGAAAAGGACTTTCCTCTGATCGTTTTAACGATAAGTAGGAATCTACTATCTCATTATTATATCCATTTAATACGCATAACATAAAATGAAATAATAAAATAAAATAAAATAGTTGATTTGCGAGAGAGAAAGAACATCTTTCAGAAATTTTAAAAATATTTCTATCTCCAGAAATAGGAAAAAAATAAAACGGGATTTTAATATTTAATATCTCAATCAAGGAAATGCTTTTAACATTGACATATATATTTAGAAATTGTTGCGAAATCTTTTAGTCGTGTTCAGAAACATTTTCGTCCATTTAAGATCAAACTTGAAAGTCCCATTTAAAATTCATTACAAGTAATTACACTGTCAAATATCAATGTTAACTAGTAAAATTTTAGGTGACGTTAAACGACTACAGAATGTGAAGACATTCCACAATGATAAGTGATGAGAACTTTAATTGAATACGAGAACTTTTTAACGTCTATCTTGATTTAAAATTATGGTAACCACATTTTACAAGGATAGGTTAAACGTGTGGGCTTTTACATCTTCCTTCAGGGTCAGCTACAGATCTTATCCTAACTTACTCATCCACCGAGAATGTAATCATACCCGTAAACAACAACGGTAGATAAATAAACAAAATTATAAAGCCATTAAAACATGTTGTCAGGAGTTTGTAAAAAGCATGTTTCCTTCCTGTTTGTACAGGTAAATACAGGTAAATTAAATACAGGTAAATTGATTGTTTCTTACAAAGTATAGTAAGTTACTTGTTCAAGTATGTTCATTTCATGTCTATATAACATAGGTATAACTGTTTCATTTACTTATGGTGTATAGAGGAGCATGTAGTCATGTTCATTTCCACAAGCCGTGACAAATATGTCAGATCATCTGTAAGAAATGTTTTATGACGAATATGATTGATGGTTGATCAGGTATATGAATTATTGATAATGAATAATTTAAATCACATTCACGTTTCAAATACAGATTCAATTTTTAATTCTCATGAACGTCATATCATCGAGGAACGTCTTTCCTCATTTACTTTTGTAACTAATTCAGTCCTCCACACTGTATATTTGAACTTTCATGTAAAAAAGCCCCTATGCATTCAAATTAACATATGTAAATGTACATTCTTTTACTCCAGCTAAAATATTCCACGTTAAAAATCCCTTATCAGAGAACATTCATTGTACATAATATATATAAACCGTTATTTATGAAACTTGGATGTTTTATTTAATTGATACACTAATTAAAAACCTAGGACGGTGTTTTAATTTCTGATATCATGTAGTTTGTAAGAGCACATTCTATGTATTTTGATAAGGTGTTTTTAATAATAATAATAAGATAATAATTACAGTATTTCCATAAAAATTAACAGACATTTCCAACAATGTGCATAAAATGTTTGAGCAAATTGAAAATAAGCAGATTAAATCTGTCAAAATATTGTGATTCATCTAGAACTGCTGTCTGTTGCTGTCACCCGATACCGAATGGGTCAATGGATATGAATCTGGGTGATAATCATGCACAGGGGGATCAATTCTATTGTAAGATACCCCCAATGATGTAAAATTCACGGTCCCCACACGTGTGAGGTGTCACAAAGTTTAAAGAAAACACGGTTATAATGACTTTATTTTGTCCGATTTACTTAAGGTCCAGTCTCGTTCATCGTGACCCGTACGTAAACAATCCCATGTTTAGATGGCCGAAAAATCCAATTTCTATTAAACGAAGAAAAGAAAGGGCTGGAAATTTGAAGCTGTGTCTCATAAATCTCCACCTGCCTCTTGGTGCGGAAGACAATGTGTCTGAATTACCTGGGTGCTTTACTCATTTTGTCCACCCGATCAAGGCATTTCCCATTTATATCCCCATTCACTATATCACATAAATGTCTTGGAAAATGGAGTAATCCAGCCCACACTCTCCCCACCAAACCGCTCATTTACAGGGACAAGATAGATGCCTACACGGGTGAATCACTGTGCGGGGCAGTTATTCAATTCGACAATACCTCAATCTGATCGTAAACTCCCTCCCGAGTCACAAGACTTGTCTTCTTTTCTATAATAAATCTTTGTACTATCGAGTACAGAAACAACAGAACAACACAGTCGTGCAGCGATTTTACACGGTACAACAGTTATTGGTTGGGTGAAGATAAGTCACTTTTGAAATATTTTTGTTTAAGAGCAAGTTGACAAATCTTAGGATGAGTAGAAATCTAGATGGGTGGTACATGATGGATGCCAGTTTGTATGACGGCAACTTTGTCCTCTCAGTATGGGTGAGTTTTCTAGTTTCAGGCTACATGCTCAGGCTTTGTTATCCTGTCTACGAGACAAGCTGAGGGACTTGACAGAACATTCCGGCATTTAGTACCCGTAACTTGTGTAAAACTCTTTCTTCTTGGCTTTCTTTGATGTAGCAATCGGTGTTATAGCATTATATAACCGAAATGTTCCTGATTTGAATAAGATGTATCAATTCTACATAAAATGGATACCTTATTCGAAACCTGTTCACGGTGAATGGATTTGGCACACCCAATGTCTCTCTTAATCACCGAAATTGTTACCTAAGGTTCAGAGTAAAATCGAATTACTTTTTAGTGGACGAAGACGTTGTGATTAAACGGTTCTAACAAGACCTTGCGCCAGACTGACGTCTCTACGTAATGGTCAAGTCATGACGCAATGACCAGAGGTCAAATTCTAACAGATTTTATGATTAATAATCCTGACTATGACGAATGTCATCGATGAAAAATGACTTTCCAGTTCGTACCTCTTAATTGTTGCAGTGTCAAGCAAAGTCAATGAAGCGAGTGATAATTATTTTATATATCTTTTCTTCATGAGAATTTCTCGCCCTACACATTTAACGCTGCTGTTTTGGCGTCTCATTACCGGAGATTTCATGGCCAATTGGTGTGATGTGTGGTCATATTTGGTGCCTAAGTTTATTTTTCTTGACAGCGATGGAGATTTTATCAAACATAAATGTTTACTCTTGACTTCTCAAGTGTTACTAATTGGAGACCATTTCAAATACAGTCTATAATTATTCGGATGGGCAAGATATTAAATTTCCTATTTACCAAACGAAATCGAGAGTGTCAGTAGCCAGGTAGTTTAACTGCATAACCGGAACCGTATTTCGTGTGCTACATGACACCCGTCACTCAAATTAGAAAAAAAATCAGTAAAAATTCAAAATATGGCGTGAAACCATGACGTCGGCAAGATGGCCCCTTTCATAACTAGTAACTAGAACTAAGGTGAACCTCGCGTGATTCTGACGTTTTCTGAAATTCGTATCCTGCGAGTGTCAATGATTAGCAGAATTTTGCATGTGTCAGCGGCTAATGATAAGGATTAATGTAAGGTGAACATGCAAACGAACTTATCCGTGGTCACAACGCCTAGAAGCAAACTCCTTAAGTGTCCTGACTTCCTTTAAAAACTTAAAGATTTTATAAACGTAGTTTAAATATTGTCTCTGCTGCACTTATAACAGGGCGTACTTAAATTTCTTAATCTTGCCAACTAATAAAACTACATTTAAATTTAAACTTCATAAAATTTCCTGGGGCTGTTCTGTTACATCGTTTTAAATCCACGATTGAACAAGATTTTAAGACTGTGATAATGTTTAACAATATTGATGAATTGTATTACACATTAAATGACAGCTAGAACACCTATTTTATGACTACAAATAACGTTATATTCATACAACTACAACCGTCTTTTCTTTAAATGAAGAGATCAAGCCTGCTTCCTTTGTTGACACAATACATTCCCAATGGGCTATATGATATAACCGTTGCACTGTACAGCTTGTTGGTGTTGGTAAACAATCACAGGCAATGTTCTATTTAAAATGTTTCGCCATTGACTAAGATAACGACCTGAAACATTATCATTTACATAAAGGTGACGTGATATTAAGAATTAATCACTTTAAACAACCAAATGTTTGGCACAACAATCTTTTGACAAATAAGAGCAGGTTATAAATTAATTAATCCTCAGTACACACTATCCAAAATGATATTCATATACTGCAACTAAAATTATCACAATTAACCAGAATAATAAAATATTTTCGAGATTTAAAGAAAGCCATTCCATGAACACTTGATTTCGATATTCATCATAGCTCAACAAGCCTACTTATGATAATTTCAACGATTAAAAGTACGAAAAAAAAAAAAAAAACAGAAAAAATTCATGTTTTTACAGTATCGCCAAATAGAAAAATAAAAAAGACGATTGTGGAAACAAAAATACACCTTTATCAAATTGTAACATTGTATTATAAAACAGCAACATATATACACAAGGGTAAATTGCACGCATACACGCATTATGTTATGCTAAATTGTGTATGTTATCTGTTTTACTGTAGAATAAAACTCATATACAACGGGATATCACGAATATTTTGTAAAGGACAAATGCATTTTAACGCAATTGTTTAAATACTCGTGGGAAAGATGAAATATTTTTATTGACCTATAGCCCCTTAAATATTCTATGTATTCGTCATAATGGAGCCTCTTAATCAGACAGAATTTCTGTTGGTTGATAAGTATATTAACAAACATATGTATATGATAAATACAATCTTAATAGAAATAAGATGTTAATAAACTCCCGAGTTACACCTGTTCTCTTTCTCAATCTAGAAATACCTTGATTGGAAATAATATTCATACATTATTTCAGCTGTCGCCGACCAGATTTACTTTTTATCAGAAACACAAACATTTCATATTAATATTCTATATCAATAATGACGAATACATTTGTCATGAATGGATCCATTGAATACATATCTTATAATAGAGAATATTTGTCGTTAAAACTCCATTCATATCACTCTTTTGGGGATATCAGGATTAACATAACATAATAAGTTAATAGATATGATTAAATTGGATACTTACCTCAAAATATAGGGTAATATCTGGATATATTCCCTCTCGACAAGCGTGAGTGGCGATTTAATTACATAAACAAATGTGCCCTCTTCACCTTCGGAACCATTCATGCTTATGGGAAAACCTTGGTGGTCTGCAGAAATGAGAGCGATCTATCGTAAAAAATGCATTGAATGGTATTTGGTGATTTTAAAACGATAACTTAAAACCATTTTATCAGAACTTGAACATTAAAATACAGTGATTCTAATATCTTACTTTATTACAGTCTTAGTACCACCATAGTGATTACAAAATCATGACAGTGCATTTAATATATATTATTAGAAATAATCTACAATGTAGAACTAAATATTGAATAAAATTAGTTCAAATTGGAATTCAATGGAATTGGGACAAAACATGAAAATAAAGATTTACTCGAAAACTTCTGAAAAGGTACTAAGAGATCGGCATGTAAAAGATTTGAATTCTCTCTGGTATGTTAGAGAATTTACAATGATATAATTATCGCCCATATATACAACAACAGATGTTAAATTCAATATAAAAATCATTACATGCTTTCTTAGACATGTACAACCTGACTATCAAATACAGTCCCCGAACAAAAACCAATATGGCTGACGAAGATTGATAGGTCTTCGATAAAGATCAAACCCAATATTGTAGCCTTTACTGTGAAATTGATTTTCTTGCTATATAATGTGACTGGTAGTTGTTGGGTTTACTCGGTACGTTACGTTTGACAACCAATGTCAAACCGCTAGCATTAATGACATTGAGCATCTAAAGCTTCAAACAAATATGAGATCTTGTGTTACCTAATCGCTCGGAAAATCCTTTCTAAATGGTTACTGAGTAGATACTTTATTATACTGAAATAGTCAAGCTTTGCATTCATTGGAAATTGAAAGTAAGATCGCTGCCCTTAATCTCGAGGGAAAAGACAAGGGGTAAACAATTTGATCCCTTCTACTCTCTAATGTATATCGGTGTGCAACCTCTTTAACTTTCTGACTTTGTCTCAGTTTGACGTATGCCATTGTATAGATAGAGAAGTATGTATAATGCCAATCTGTCTGAAACCTTTTTTAACTGCTTTTAAAAGTTTCCGTCTTTACAATGTATCTGTATTGTTATCTAGAGCAAGTATAACCGCACATTTAATTGGTAAAAGATATCTTAAACGGGTTTTTAGTTTTAAATACAAGCCATGGCGACGTTGTCGTCGTTTGTCTGTCTGCGGTAGTACATAAAGTATCTTCCGAGTCGCACAAGATTAAATAAACATTAGTCTATTGCTGGTTAGGATTGGTAAAATGCGGACCTTTCATTCGATCATTGTAGATTTTCCTCATTCGACTTCTAGGTTTGAAATTCATGCCCTTGTTTGACTCTACTGTATCTTATCTAAATTTGTGTCAGAAGTTGATATTTATTTGTGTGTCTTTTTTTATAACCCCGCCCCCCCCACCCCTCCAAAAAAAAAGCGCTAGGACAAAATATGAACAACAGAAGTATTTCTCTATCAAATGTTATTTCTTAGGATTTTTAAAAATCGTTTTCTCAACGTTTATAAGGTAACTATGTGTACATAGTCTTGGAAATATCACATTCATGAATGCCAAAGTGATAACATAACTATGTTATCTTTTTTATATTACTTGAATTGAACTTGGTTTTGAATGAACATCGAAAAACTGTATGTTCATCTATAATCTGATTCACTGGATTGGCTATGACATTGGTAGGACAGGAATGTAAAGTCTCAATTAATTACAAAATGTCTGGTGCTTGATGTAAACGAATACATTCACTGACCGATTATCTTAATTATCTCGAGTTTAACACAGGGGATCTCAAACGAAAGCACTTCTTAACGTTTGTCACTGCTACCTCCAGTGGAATAGAAAATTAGTGGAACTTGATACCAATGGTATTATCTTGTCTCATCACAAAGTCCCTTTTTTGTGGTGGTATAGCCAGAGGTCAATGCGTTCGCCGTTAGATATAGTACAGTATAGGGATCGGGACACAGATTTCTATAACGTTAAACTTAAGACGAGGCATGGGTTCACTTAATTTACATAGATCATTTGTATACTATTACGTATTTCTGCTTAAAGTACAGTGTTGGGTAATTCATCTAATTCAGTAGAAGGGATCTCTAGATACGACATTATATATGTGTATAATTATCAATGATTTCGATATAAATACAGAATAGACATCGGCATTGAAATGTATTAAAAGTAAATTTGTTCAGTAAAGAAATCTGGGCACATATCTAATTTTATGAACGCCTCAACTGATTATCATTTCAATAAGACGAGAAATTTCAATTCACAAATAGACTTGGGATGACAGTTAGGTATCACGTAACACTGTACATATACTAAGGATGTTTACTATGGATGTTTATTCTGGGTGTTTATTCTGGTTGTGTACAATTGGTAACTTACTATTCGAACATATACAGTAGCCGGGACATCAAACTCTAAACTATGGAACGTGTCATTGGGTCGCGTCAGAACTCCGCACTTTATATAAACACAAATAATACTATCAGAGACTACATGCACGGTGAAAGATGTTCAAATAGAGTTAAAGTGTTCATAGAGATTTATAGGGATTTATAAAAAAAAAACACAGGAGGTACTGAACAGGATATTTTAACTTTAAGGTAACTTTGCGAGTGGTACTCAAGTTGTTATCTCCACAGCTGGTGTATTTGGAATCAAATAAAAAGTCTTGTCACCAAGCTGTGTATCTGGTGACAATTGTACTTCTAAACGATAAATCAGCATTGCGTAATATTGTAACTTAGTGTTACAGGTATGGCAATGCATTTAGCTTGTAAAGCTTGATAAGAAAGATGTTTTATCAGCGATATTGTTGTAAGTGTGAATCTACATATTTTGATCAGATAGTGTCTGAGGTGGCAAATACTGAATAAATGGCTATAAGCAGCTAATGGCCCTTTGTTTAATAACGTCAAATAATCTCTCGTCAAATTGAGAAAGCTAAATAATGACTTAACCAGCCAATCAGCGAAATATTTACGCAGAGAAGCATAAATAGAATTCCAAAATAAAAATATTAATGAAACGAATCAATGCCTACTTGATATTTCCATACAAACATGTTTTGTTTAAGATTTACAGGATATTGTTGTGATTATCTAATTTGTGTCCAACATCTGTTACCTGTTGAAATGGCGTATTTTATATACAACGATGTGATGAAAGGTGCAGTCCTTTAAGATTTTATATTGGTGACAAATATCTGGATTTATGTCAGAAGTTTTATAGCCTGATTTAAACGTTTTGTCTCTGTAACAAACAATGTACTATTTTGTATATCTAAAAATCTACAATATCACTTTTGTTGCAAAGCCAATGACGAGAGTAAACAGGAAAATATAATACGCTGTAATCGTACGAATAAAATTGCATGTCATATTTCTTTAAATTACCGTTCGACTGTCAAATGTGTTGCAATATGTAGTTCATTGATTTTGAAACTGATGAATAAACATCTTTTCAAACTATCAAATTTGTGTTTATATCACAGTGAACGTGATCAGTAATTTACTTCACAATTTGATAAACCAGGTGCCGGAATATTTATTTTCTCTTTAGGTTTGAAATTGGCACTGAGTAGAAATGAACGCAATGTCATATAAATATGTTAGGTTATAATTCTAATAATATCGTCAATGATTAATTAGGATAATTCTTCTTCTTCTGTACCACTTGTAATTTCTGATTGTTTTGCAGGTTTCGTTGAAGAGTCCGGATCGTGGTCACGAGAGCGATAGTGGACAGGGAAGTCTGGACAGTGGCAACAGGCGACATCACCAGCTCGCGAGCCTCAAGCTTCATCACGCTCTACTGACCTCTCCCGGCGGCTCCAAAAATCGATCAAGCGTGTCACATGTGGTACGTAAACTTATCACCATCTGTCATATTTCAGGTACACACGGGTATTCACAAGCTTAGCCCTAGATACACTACTAATCAAACACATTTTATCAATAAACATGGCATTAACTATTTCAAAAAAACTTTAATGCAAGACTTCATCCGTTTTATTTTTTCATAAAACAAATTCCCAAAAAACAATGTTAACAGTATCACAAAGGATGCTTTCTGTTTTATGAATGCTGACCATGCTTTCATGCAAACATCTGCCGAAACCATATTTTAGAAAAATAGTCAGTGGAATCTCTCACATCTTTTGTTGAACATATTTGAATCATTGTTACCGTTCTGTTGTAGTCCTGATTTTGTCGAGGTCTTATCTTCGGCAGTCACGCACTGTCATGTCTCAATGGTTGTACGCAAATTGTTAATCCCCCACATTAGTCGCCTTTTGTGTTATTATATCTTTACTAATAGCTAAAATGTTTCTATTTGATTGACCATATTCAATGTAGTTCCTTTGAATGAAATCAAAATTATAATGTACATCTGCAGACCTATTAACCTTCATTTCTCTTCTGGCCTCTAATTACAATAAAAGCTTTATAAGATTCGAAAATGTTCCAACAGGACATATTGGAATGGAATGTCATCAGGTTCATTTTCACAGGATTTATTTATAAATGATTGTATGTCCTTAATAAATATTGACCTTGTCTTTGTCCTACAGTCGCCTCCCTTGTCGGGACTCATTACTCACCAAGAGGCCGATAACCATAGCGACCTGTCCGGCGAGACAAATACAAGTGATAGTGGGCGTGGCGGTAGTGAGGATGACATCAATACTAGCTGTATTCTCTCATACTCGGGAGACTTCGGTAAGTTTCGGAAGTCGAAATCTAGCACCTTGAAGTTTAGAAAATTCATGCTATCTTTAAAATTGAATTTTGTTAGTCGCTAGAAAATATGGAATATTTTTGCAAACAAATTAAATAATATATCTACAATATTTTATAAATCTGATAAGTTTTTTTAGTTTCAATGTTTGCCTTCTTCAATTTTATACATCACTTGTCATTCAAGAGGATAATTTAGGATTATGAATCTAAATAAGATGATTAACTAAGCATATACGTAGAATTATGTAAAACGAATATTAGATAAAATGGGTGATAACAGGTAATTTAACTGATTTACATATCTAGTTTAAAATATAAGAGATTGTATGTAGGAGTTTCGTATATTTAATTAAACATGCTGCCACTAGAGAATATCTTATGATATATATCATTTTCATCAAAGATCAGACAATTACTTTAGTGATCCATCCGATAGGTCTCAAATATTACATGATAGAATCGTGAAATACTGTTTCAACATGTTTAAAGACAGTGTTATTTCTTGACACGAAAATAACGTTGAGTGACAGTGTTTCTGGAAATCTGACATGTTTTGCGTGAGGTGTCGATAATTGATGGATTGATAGGGTTAGAGAGTAAGTCGACTAGGTACATATATGTAGAAGCTTCCGCCTACCTCTATAACATATCATCACTGATTCATGTAATCCGGAGGCTTCTTCAGAGAGTTGAAGATGTATACACTTCTTAATTATTTATAATTGTAAAGTTTCAATCTCCCAGCTTCTTATAAATTATGCAAGAAGTTGCGATTTAAAAAAACAACCTAATAACGATACAAAGTAATATCTGCTTTTATTTAAAGGAATATAATTTTGCTAGTTTCTTTTGGAAGAAGCGATGATTTCGTTTAGTCTGTTAAAGCTGACAAATATTCAAATATGTGGAGGTGTATATAGGCATAATTTAATACACTAACGGCTAAAAGTTTGATGAGTGACATGACAGGACGACGAAATCAAACATTCGGGCTGTATGTAGACTCATACCTTGGATATCACATTACAAGGCAGGGATTTGTATAATTAATAGACACTTAAAGAGGGTTTTGGCGATAACTGTCACTTTAATCAACTCTAATGTTTAATATGCCACACGTATCTAAGTAGAGTACATAAAATACAAGAAATACAATCGTGTTCAGAACATACGCATCACAGATCAAACGAATCGTAAAAATAATTTAGATTAATAATTTAGTATATATATTGACACAAATGAATAAAACTGATATAATATAAAGTCTTCTATATTACATGTCATTAAATATATAACTCAATAAATCTATGCTTTGTATCATTTCTATATGATTTCTTGTATTCTCTGTTGGAAGGATAATTACTCTTACTATCTCCACATCGCACATTAAAAGGAATCAAATTTGTTGTAAACGTTTCCCCTTGATTAAATTTTTTCAATCAAAATAAAGTTATATTAGAGAGGGGTTAAAATAATTTCATGTAATTCTTTATTCTAATATTGCAGATCACTTGGCTCACAGTCCAAGAGGGAAACACACGCCTAGAATCAATTCAAAAAGTGCAGGCATGCGCGAAGATTTATTTCCGCTTCCGGAACATGATTATGGACAATTAAATCACATGAAACCTACTTTAGCTCCGATATCATTCGGGGATAGTTTTTTTAATTATGAAAGTAATCAAGACGGACTTTCTCCTGTACAATTCGGAGGCGTGTCCCCGACAGGAAATTCATTCATACTCAGTGGAAACGACGACAGTACAACGACTTCCGGAAGTTACGTATTGGATCACGAGGACGAATATGTTGACGTCGTGAGACCAAGTAGACAATGTATTGTATAATGGCGGATTTGAGGATAGGTAAGCAGAACAAACACGATGTTGTGTCGTTTTCATTTCTCTTTACTTATCTTATAAACATCTTTAACCAGTAGAAACGTCAATAAGACAAAATCACTGACATCATCTATTAGATGGAAAACAAATTTAGCAATTCACTACAATTACGACAGAATACAACTCAAATTTTCAAATAATTTTTATTTTTTTTTGCATTTGATATTTAAATATATTTATTTGATAACATAGATAATATATGTTCTTTAACTTTTCAGTGGGGCTTCAGAAATGTATGCTGTCCCTGTAAAACGATGTCTCATCCTGTCGTCAAATTGCCGTCCGAACCACACCTGCCAAAGTGATAAGACATCACTATTTTTCTTAACGTCATGTCTACAGGGTCGACTGCATCAGCCTTTAGAAAGAAAGGTAGGTTCATTGTTCGAGCCTTGATAAGAATAAACTTTGTTTGCAAAATCTAGATAGTCAAATAGTAATAATACTTGGTAAAAATTTTGAAAAGCAATTATTTTGCGGTGACAAGAATGCTATCAATTCTTGAGTAGTATTCGCTGATGGTGTGTTTTCACTAAGCGAGGCGTGCCGTAACTACCGTGCGACATTTTGATACAAGCGAATGGTAAACATGTGCTCGACATTCTTTAAAAATATACATACTAAGTATGTGACAATTACGAACATTGTTGAATTATGCGGCTTGTGCACCATCTTATCTGGATTTTGGTATTTGTTACGGTCGTTGTGAATTTTACCAAGTCGACCACTAGGTTACCGAATTCAGGTCCTTAGATTCACTGACTTGTCCTGGTATGGCGATACAACTGACTGATGGGGTTCAATTCATTTTTCGACTCTGCATTAATATATTCTAGATTTGTAATACACGTTCTGTTCACTTTTGAGTCTTTGAGTTTTGCAAGATGTTCTTAATGCATATTGTTTTATCATGAAATTGTTTTGAGAATATAACAAAACCGTTTTATTATGTCAAATATCTATGATAGCTGTAACATGAGATAAAGAAATAGTACAATCTGATTTTGAAACATTTTGCAAACATGCTCACACTTGGTGAACAATTTGTATTAAAGTTTTTTATTATAATTTTATCTTTTCAGAACAAACAGGAATAAAGAACACAAGAAGTATTCAAACAAGAATGTAATGTTTGATGGTCACGTGCTTTATTTTAGAATTGGAAAATAATTCTGATTCTTCTAAAGGAGGAGGCTGAGATACTCGACTCTGGCAAAGGAAAGAAGTGTATCATTGTCTTAATGCATGGAAATCCTACTTACTCATATATCTGGTGCTTCACAAATTCTTAAGGAATAAATCATTTGACTGATTCAATGCATAATATGCTAAGTGATGGAACGATATTTCAACTTATCGGTGCTACAGTCGTCTACGCATTTGTATGGATAGTGCAGTCCCTTCCTAGTTCTTACTCAGTATTAAATGTGTTATAGACTACAAGTGATAAAACTTTAAATGCAATATGTGCCAAATGTTGCTTGTGAGTGCTGTGTTGTATTGTTAGTATTCTGCTTTCAAATGATCTCAGAATTGGACTCTCTGCGTTTGTGCGTAACAGAGAGCATGTTTTGAATTTGTGTTGAGGAACTTCTCATAACAAATATCTATTTTACGATAATGCATTATAGATTTTAAACAATTTTATCAACAATGAACAAAGTAATAAATATATCACATAGTTTTGTATGAAGATTTGAAAATTCATTGTAAAGTGTTTTAAAAATATACTAACCACAACATCAACACATAGGATCGAAAGAATGAAAAAGCAAAAAAAAAAAAAAAAAAAAAAAAGATTCGAAGTAGTAGCAACAAGGATTTTACTGAGGAAAGGCGAACCTTTGTTTGGTTTATTAAAACGATTTTCAATACTGCTTTTGTTATAATCTGATTGAGGCTAACATGAAAATGGCACCAATGTTATTACTTTTGAGTATTGAAACATTATGTTTACATCTCGTTGTTTACACAATTGATAAATACACTATTACTGTATTCCTTATCTCTCGGAGTCTAAGCTCATCTGACGTGATACTGACGTCTTCAGGTTTGTTGATATAGTTACTGAAGTTTTCTGTTGGCTTCGAATTTTTCAAACAGTTTTCGTGTGTTGGTGTTGTGGTAGCTATGTTTTTGTTATTTCGGTGTTTTGCAAAGCCATGATATTTCAGAAAGAAATTCGTTTATATTTACCACTGGTTTAATGACATTGCTTACATCAAATAGAACATTACTGACTGCATTTTCGTGCAATTACACTGATCATTGTTAAGGAGGAAGAGAAACAGAAAGCAGAATTTCTACTTCTGATTGCCGATTTTATCTTGGTTTGGTTACAGCATTAAATCTAATTTTCCTAACGAAGAAAAAAAATGCACGTACTTTCGAGATTCTGTTGTGTAGAGATGTGAAACTGTACATGTACATGTATGAAAGTATTTTTGTTATATTGTACGAGAATAAATTATATTTTTTCTAAATGAAGTTTATTAACAAATAAATAACTTCTTACTTGAGGTTTTGTATTTGAAACAGCAATAAATGTTACAAAATCATATAAAATGTATTTGTTGATTTTTGTTTCCAAAATAATGGTTCATGTGATGGTGTCACCTGGCGGTACTATCTGATATGTTTCATTTCAACTCAATGTTAAACTGTGCAGCAGTATATCAATAATTTTGAAAACGCCAAAATAAATAAAATCATAGTTCTTGACAACCAAACAAAGATGTACAAACATGTACATCATCGAACTTTGACGGTATCAAGAACTAACCAACCTGCAGCGACCTTCAACAAGTTAAGTATTTTAACACAACATAGGTTTCAATGAATGAAGGCTGATGACGATAATGGGACAGTTTGTGGCCGTCACAGTAATCCAATTGGTCAAAATAATCATAATCCGAGTTCAAAGTCAATTAAACCAGGGGAAAACACGAACAAAATAAAGATTTATACGGAGACCCTGAAAAACTACAAAAAAATTAGACCAGGAAGAGGAAGGTTTTTTGCTTCATCGACAACACACGCCATGTACATCTTGGTCAATACAAGTAAATAATGTTACGCTCTCAATTATTCTCTCATGGGAATTTGCCATTACTTACTCTGATTGACCAAGCTTGATATGGCGTGTGTCGTCGGGGAAGCAAAAAGTGGTCACCTTTCCGGACCACATGGTCTTATTCTTCTTATACATTTCCACGTGTCGACGTTTACATATTACTTTTCCTTTATATTTTGTCATCGGTACATAACTTTTGAGGTTGAATTCAGATTTTGATGTTGTGTGGATATTTTCTATGTTGCTAGGGTAAACATTGTTGGAAATGTACATGTACGTACACGAATTGTCATTTTGAAACTCATTAATTATGTAACGCGAAGTATGTTACTAGTTTTAGATCATAACGATTTTCTGACCATCACCGTCATATTATTAATTTTCTGTATGGATTTAAAATGTTGAAATCTACACATCGATATGCAAATGACATGAATCATCAGTGTTTATGACGCATTTAAACTAACATTTAGATATCCAAAAAATTCAATTTTCTATTAATTATATAGTTATCAGCAAACAAATCCTATGATCATGTTCCATGTAATGGCCACGTAACTTGTGTATTATATAGGTCAGTTACCATATATGGTATAATCAAATATATCGTTGTCATTTATTTAATATAGAATGAATTATACCGATTAGACATATGTTATCCACTTTTTAGACATAAAAGTGTTCAGCATTTAAACTTATCTTTATCCTTTATAAATTGAATTTAAAAAAAAAACCGAAAATGTATTGATGATAGACTTGTAGCGTCTTTAACGGAGGGAAAATATTCTTACTTTGTCAAATATTCAACACGTGTTAAACCCAGATGATCCTATACTGTGGACATCTATTCATGTGTAACCTTGGTCAATAACGCTACTTATGTGGAGTGTATTTCGATACTAAATATACAAAGTCCTTGATCTGCATTAAGCTAAATACCACGTCCAGAATTATTGTTGATACGGTTCTATTGTACTCCACTGTTTATGTAAATTCTGGAACGAGATTTATCACATGTCCACACCTTATCAACCCTTTAGACAAGATAAGACTTACCACCATCTGTTCAGGTATTGGTGGCCGTATTACAATAAACAGTAACAAAAGGGATATACAAAGCTGTTATCCAAATCGCCATTTAACACAACGTCCGCCATTTCATAAAAAGATACAAATTTGATTTAAGATCGCTACGAAATAATGTCTTCCAAAAATGTATAGAGAGCAGTGGCCCAGTGCTAACAACACAGTCGAACAGCCGACATCCTTAATTATCAATTAGGATAAACAAGGAACGAAAAAATATGTACAGAAATCTGATGGTACGGTTGTTCTGTAATAGCAAATACACTGTTAGCACACAGAGGAAAAAAGTGATTAAATAAATGTATTATTAAAATAATTTAAAGACACAATCATATTGCTTGCTGTACATGTATTTGCATAAAGAGAATCGATAAACCAATCATATTGAATCCGAAAATTATACGAGAGATGTACATCGTGTAAAAATCCTGTTGGTAGTTAATCTCAGTATCAGGAACTAAGGCCAGACAATAAAACAAACATGATCATCATTTAAAGATGAAAGAAGACGCTAAAAGTGAAGGTAAGACAGGAAAAGTACTCTCGGGTGATTGTACAAGGCACACAAGTAAATAGCAACTTCCAATACAAATATAGAATTAGACACTGGTTAATAGAGTCCAACTAATGAATTGATCTACATCATACAGCTGTTTCATCCTTCTAGAACTTGTCAGTGAGGCGATATGCCTAAACTTTAAACATAGAAAGCGACTTAGGAAAGTCTAAAGTAGTTGCAAAAAGTCACAATCTAAACCAAAATGCGTATAAAATTGCTGCAAGATTT